ATTAAAAAAACCCTAGAAAATCTCTCTACGCGTTTCTAGAACCAGAATCCCCAAAAGTTCTCAAACAGGGTTCAACTAAATGAATCGTTTTGGGGACCGGAACCCCCATGCTAGCGTGATTGCTCTTTCTGTTTGGTAAAAGCTCCGACACCTTGAATTCATTTTTTTGCTTTGGTATTCTTTTTTTATCTTTTATTTTTTTGTGGATTTTAGTTGAAATTGAATTTTTGGGAAATACAGGGATTGACTGCTACTGTGGTTAGACACTTGGAATATATTTTGTGGGTTTTGATCTGGGTTTGGAATTGCTTTGGATTTGACGATTCTTGAAGCTTTGACAAATCTTGGGTGATAAGTTTGGTTGTGTGTGGTGTGAGGTCAAAAGGGTTTTCTGTTCACTTAATTGTAGAGCTTGGAATTCGGGTTCTTTCCATTTGAATTGTTCCTTGATTTTGTTAGTGTCATTTTAGTTGTAAAGAGCTCAAGGAAAATTGGGCAATCTGATTGGGTATTTACTGAGAGTAAAAGGTTTTTTCCGTTGTGGATTCAAGAGTTGTAAAGGGTTTATAGGAATTTAGTGTTTTTAAAATTCATTGGAGTTTAGCAACTTTATAATGAAACAATGATGGAAGGGTTTGCTTTTCATTGAGATTGAAACTTGAAGTGGATATTGAAGTTCGGTTATAAAAATAATTTGAGTTTTGTCTTTTGGTGCTGAAACTATTCAAGCAAATTGAGAGTTTGCTGCAGGTGTTGAATTTGGGGAATTTGATTAGATTTTAAGGTTTGCAATGGATGATGTTCAAGGCAGTTCAAATTCACTTCCTCCTTTCCTTGCAAAAACATATGATATGGTAGACGATCCATCAACAAATTCAGTTGTGTCCTGGAGTCCATCTAACAAAAGCTTTGTTGTGTGGAATCCACCAGAGTTTGCCAGGGATCTGCTACCAAGATTCTTTAAGCACAATAACTTCTCAAGTTTTATCAGACAGCTCAATACATATGTAAGCCAATATTGTTTCATTCAATTGGTATATTTTATTTGATATAATATTATTGTAGATTAATGCATATGGTGATATTGACTTTACATTTCAACAGGGCTTCAGAAAAGTTGATCCTGAGCAATGGGAATTTGCAAATGAGGGCTTTGTAAGAGGTCAGCCGCATCTTATGAAGAATATCCACAGACGAAAGCCGGTTCATAGTCATTCTCTTCAGAATGTACAAAACCAAGGAACTCCGTTAACTGAATTGGAAAGACAGAGTTTAAAGGAAGAAATTGAGAGATTAAAAAATGATAAAGAATTGCTTATTTTGGACCTACAGAGGCACGAGCAGGAGCGGCAAGGATTTGAATTTCAAATGCAGCTTTTGAAGGAGCGTTTTCAGCGTATGGAACGGAGACAGCAGAAGATGTTGTCTTCCGTGGCTAGAGCCTTGCAGAAACCAGGGGTTGCCTCAAATCTTGGGTCACAGTTGGAAACTCATGATAGAAAGAGAAGACTTCCACGAATAGGTTACTTTTACGATGAGGGCAACATTGGAGACAATTCACTGGGGACTTCCCAGACTGTAGCTAGAGAAAATGTTGAGAGTACTAGTGCTTTGTCATCAAACACAGAACATTTTGAGCATTTGGAATCTTCCTTGACCTTTTGGGAGAATATTGTGCATGATGGTGGTGAAACTGCTCTTCCACTTAATTCAAGCCTGGAGTTGGATGAATCTACAAGTGCAGATAGTCCAGCCATATCTTGCATACAGCTTAATGTTGATGTTCGGCCAAAATCTCCTGGAATTGACATGAACTCTAAGCCTGTTGTAGCAGCTGCTTCTGATCCTGGTGTGTCAAAGGAACCAGCAGCTGTGACAGCTGCTGCTGTGACAACTGGCGTCAATGATGTATTTTGGGAACAGTTTTTGACAGAAAATCCTGGTTCTACTGAAATCCAGGAAGTTCAGTCAGAAAGAAGGGATTCAGATGGCAGGAAGAATGATAACAAACCTGTTGATCATGGCAGATTTTGGTGGAATATGAGAAATGTAAATAGTCTTGCAGAACGGATGGAGCATCTAACTCCTGCGGAGAGAACTTGATATTGTTTGATTGTTTTTTTTTCTTTTTCTGTTTTCCAGCTTTTGATGCCTCAGTATCATCTTGCATAATAAATTTAGGTATGATTGGTTGGATCTGACAATAAATAGATGTTCTATGTTTGTAGTTCATTGTTTTTCAGAACATCATGATTTATTGTTATGCCACAAGTCCATTATGCATTTTGGTTTTAGTTGCTGTTATGATTTAAATGGCCTGCGTGGACTCTCTTTCAATCATGTTCTGCTCAATCTGTTATTTAAAGAAAAGAAAAAAAACCGTATGCAAGCATGCAGAAAAGCTCATACACTGATGTTGTGTTTAGGCAAGTAGCTGAGTGATCTTTAATCTGACTTGAAGATTCCCTACTAAGATATGCTCCTTGCCCATCGAGTGATTCGCATCTTTTCTTGAAAAACATTCAATTATGATCCGATTGTTACTGGTGTTCTCGGTTGATGATTTGCATTTAATACACTCTACTACTAGAGGAATCTAATGTGTTCAGTTGACATCAAGGAAACTTCCATTTACGTGTTTTATCTTCTTGGATATGACCTGATGACTTTTTATTACTTATTGCATATTATCGAATTATTGATTTTATGGCTTGTTCTCATATGTTCAGCAACCAGAGTCATATTGGGTTTCTTCATGAGTTAACTTCAGACCAAGGTTGGGAGTTTGAGCAGCCATTTGTTAGGATAGGTTGGCAAAACACTTCTTTCCCATTATATTTTTGCTACATGCCGAACAGAAGTTGCCAGACTACCGTGTCCCTACCAAAAGTCAATTTGAATGCTTTTCAGGTTTTTATTGGTGTCATGCCTTGCCTTTCACATTAATTGGGTGCTCTGCTAACTGTTTCTTATAGATTGAGCCGCTGATAAGATTGCTTCTGGGGTCGCCCATGTCTTTGTCACTGTAGCACTAAAATATGAGTCACCAACGGAACGTCAACCTCTAAACAAAGATCATTCTTATAATCTAGTAAGACATTCATATTACCTACTGGAATGAAAGAATCAGTTTGGCCTTCTAACTCGCTGATTAATAGAATTATTTATGCCTATTTTCGCCCTATCAACACATTCCATTGTTTAAGAGGAGTGAGTACTTGCTTTTTCTCATAATCTACATGAGCATGCATACTTCTGAAATATGTTGAACGATGGTCTGTGTCCATTATGCTGGCCATGTGATAATCTTTGGTGCTCAACAGCAGAACCCTGCATAATTTCAGGCTTGACATGGCAGCAGAACTTACTTTTCGTACACTAATATATTGCTTCCATAACTGATCATCTCATATAACTCTAATGCCCTTGGGAAAGAATCGAAGACTATAAAATTCATTACTAGACACTAATGTATTTGCATAGCTTCAACTAATCTTCTCCTTGAATTTGATTTTGCAAGTTAAGAAGATGAAGTTTAATGGATGTTGAAATCTCCCATTAGCAGGGTGATAGACTGTACATAGCCGTTACTCATTATGGTTTTTATTAATACTTGTTCTAAAAATCTTGCTATTTGACATTACACAGGTAAGTTATTACTTGTAAAAGACGCAAATCATTCTTGCAATTGCGTATTTGAGGGGCGGTCTTACTGACATTGACAGTATGCTCTTCTGCTGTCCATGGTTGTAGATGATTTGCTTATGCCAAGAGATTCTCTAATTTTACTTTTACACGTAACAAAACTGAAACTATTCTAGTTGATGAAAAGACAAGTGGCCCCGCAGTTGACTGTTTTGGGAGCTTTTTCATTACCATAATCTCACCTCTATCTCTGTCACCGTTTACCTACTATTTATGAAGAAGATATTGATGATGACATTGGGGTTGGGTGGCTCGCAGGAAGCCTAGCACTTACTCAGAAAGTGCTGGGTAGTTAGGTTACACGTAACACAACTACCTTCAAGCTTTCCGCCGCAAGCACATGGTTTTTTTTATGCTAAATTATGTGGGCAACAGATATAGCTAATGAGCCATCCGTTATCAAATGCCATTTTGGAATGGAATCTTGTGTAGCATATTATATCAGCAGCCGCGCTACGTGGCTACCACTGCACCAGTACAGAACCTGGCTAGCTCAATCAGTGGAGGATGTTCTCTTCATAGTAGATATAGTCGCTTAGGATTTGTGAATAATGTTTTACTTACGGAAGTAAATATTTCAATTCAATCCTGATCAACTTAGTTAAAAGTTAACGTGTGCAAAATTTATCATTGGCCCACTTCCAACATTGGTAAATACCATAACTATTGGTGTTGTGCCGAAAATATACATGGATGTCAGCATCACCAATCAAAGCTCAACAAGCACTTAAAGGCAAAGGGTATTAGCTGTCAAAACCCAAAGCGTCTTGAAGAGATATTATATAACACTTGTCACACCTTTATCAAAATAAAGGATGAAGATAAATGAGAGATCTCCATGTGTCAATGCAACTTATAAGAGCACTAATTATATTGAGCTCAAAGATGTATAAAACTATAAATGGTCAGCTCTCTTCATGAAAAGGAGGCTGGTTGGGCATATGAGAGTTAGACATACATTTGAGATTTATTATTTTTTCTCTGTAAACAAAGTATTTCTCCATTTTTGTACACTTTACAGGCCATATCAGAAAAATAGTCAAAGAATAATAGTGGATGTAAGATTCGCTTTAAGCATTCGAACCACTATAAAAATCCCCCTTGTCAGTCTTTTACTTATGTTTTTACAAAAATATATCATCTTAACTCTAATCAACTTTCATAATCATATCACGTATAATTTCTAAGACCTATTTAGCACTTTGCACGTGCGAGGTCATTTATGTCAAAATCACACATCAACAGTTTGACGTTAGAAAGAAGGTATGATTCGCATCAACTCTCCATGTTTTTCTAGCAAGTCTCAACTTTTTCAAAATACTGAAGCATGTTTCATATTAGAGCTCCCAGATCACGTGGCTAGATCGCCCAAATTGTATGCATCAGAGCTCCCACATCGCATGGTCAAATCGCACGCATTAGAGCTCCCAAATCGCATGCATTAGAGCTCCAAGATTGCATGGCCAGATCACTCAGATTGCACGCATCAGAGCTCTCGGATCGCCCAGATCGCACGCATCAGAGCTCTCAGATCGTGTGGCCAAATCGCTCAGATCACGCACATCAAAGCTCTTAGATTGCCAGATCGCTCAGATCTCACGTATCAAAGCTCTCAGATCGTGCTCTTAGATCACTCTAATCTTCATATTCAAATCGCGTGGCCAGATAGCTCAGATCTCTCATATCAGATTGAGCTCTCAAGCTCTCTAGCTAACGAGCTCCTAAGCTCTTGAGATCACACGTTCAAGATCGTTGAAATCACGTGTTTAAGATCATCGAGATCACGCGTTTAAGATCATTGAGATCACACATTCAAATCATTCAGATCGCACTCCCGAGCGGCTAAATCGTGTTTTTGAGCACTCAAATCGCGCTCTCAAGTGGCTAGATCGTGCTTCCGAGCACTCAGATCATGCTCCCGAGCGGCCAAATCGTGCTTCTAAGCACTCAGATCACGCTCCCGAGTGACCAGATCGTCCTTTCAAGCACTCAGACCGCACTCCCAAGCAGCCATATCATGCTTCTGAGCACTTAGATCATACTCCTGAGTGGCCAGATCGTGCTTCTGAGCACCCACATCGTGCTCCGAGCGCTCAGATCGCTAATCTCAGTTCTCATATCAAGCTTAGCGCTTTTTGATCGAACTCTCTGTATTCTCAGATCAAACTCTGCGCTTTCTGATAGAACTCCTTATGTTCTCCGATCAAGCTTCGTGCTTTCTGATTGAATTCCTTGTGTTCTCAGATCAAGCTTCGTGTTTTCTGATCGAATTGCTTGTGTTCTCATATCAAGCTTCGCACTTTCTGATAAAACTGCTTGTGTTCTTAGATCAAGCTTTGCACTTTCTAATCGAACTCCTTGTGTTCTCAGATCAAGCTTTGCGCTTTCTAATCGAACTCCTTGTGTTCTCAGATCAAGCTTTGAGCTTTCTGATCAAACTCCTTGAGCTCTTTATGCTCTCTGATCGAGCTCATAAGCTTGAGACGCGTGCATTAGATCATTCAGATCGTGCGCTTTAGGTTGCTTAGATCGCGTGTACATATCAAACTCCTTAAGCTCTCAGCTCGCACGCTCCAGATTAAGTTCCTCATCTTGAGGTCGCGCACTTCGCATCGATTAGATCGCAAGCCTTAAACTCTAAGATCGAGCCCCTATTAGATCGCAATCAACTCTTAGTTCTCAAATCGTGATCAGCTCTGAGGTATTGCGAAAAACCTCAGATCGTGTTCCCAGCTCTCAGATCGCAATCAGTTCTCAGTTCTCAGATCACGACCAGTTGTCAACGTAAAAAAAAAAAAACGCATCGAAAACTCAAACAGCCCCAAAACATGCCAAAATGGTGGATTTTCACCTCAAAAACAACCCCAACTAGGTTTCCTTGTTGCCATGATGTAGAGCTCGAAACGAGCTTTCCGTGGATATCTTACGAGCTCCAAAACTCTTCTCGGATCAAAAGTTATGGTTGTTTTAATTTGACATGTTCGTTTAAGACCTCTTAACCGTGCATTTTGACTTCTGACGCTCAGATCTCTCTTGGAATTCATCTACTAGACATTTTATGTCAGTTATCAGATCGTGATTAGCTTCAGATTGCTCCAAGCTCTCAGATCGCAGTCCTAGCTCTCAACACCCGATCACGCCAAGTATAGTTCGAGCTCTTCAGTTTGAGACTGCAATTTATAGTGCAAGACCCATTCAAATCAAAGACCTAAGTTTTTGAAGTGCAATTACATACTCCAAAAACTAGACTTCAAAAACTAGGGGGGTTCTTGTAAGAATTCATGCCTAGAAAGGGTAAAATTGGTGTATAACATGGTATAAGGTCATATGACATGTTATTGAAACTAAAAGGATGAAATTGTTACCTTTTATGCTTTACAACTCTTGTAACTTGAAAAGGAGTTCAAGATCTTTAACAAATTTGATGAGAATCCTCAAAGTAAAGTTCACCCCAAGATAAAGAAAAGAGAACTGACTATGAGAGCTCAAGAGAGAGATTTTCATTCCAAATGAAAAATTAGATTAAATTTGGGAATATCATTTATTTATATACAAGGACCATTTTGCTATATTTTGAAATTGTTCTCAAGTCCTTAATTAATATGAATCCTCTATTAACACTTAATACAAATTCAATATTATTTTCAAGTCTTTGAAATAATTTCAATTTAATATTAACTATTAATATTAACTCATTATTGATCCTAAATCCTTGAAACAATTTCAATTTAATATTAACTCTTTAACATTAAATCCTTGATTTAAACAAATTTATAATTAAGGCATATAAAATAATCCCGTTTAATATTTAACCCATTCATTTCTCACCAATACATAAATTAGGATGCACACGTTTACATCTGAATATCGTTAACCTTTACTGATATGTATTACTTTCTCTTCTCATACTTGGTTTTTAGGTGTGATCACTTATGTTCACTGTAACCTAGCTGTGGGCCCAATACTACAATCTGATATGTTTCATCATAACTCTTTATGATTGAAACTCCCAACGATCATGATAGACATCTAGCAATACTCCATAACCCCTAAGCCGCAATGAAATTAAACTCCAATGAACCTTTTTTTCCCGATCATATGTCTTATGTAGTAAAATCCCTCTGTCTTCTAATCTCGATTAAGTATAGGTTTATGGTATGTCAAAACCCTTAACTTAATCTTTATCCGAATTGTTAATCAATACAATGGAACGTGTCATCATGAAACTCCTTTTTCATTTGATTATTTTGTACTCTGGCAAAAAATTTCCTTTTTCCATTGTTTATTGCATTCATCTGGGAACTAGGGACCAAACTATTTCGAGTCAACGGATCCTATCTTGACCATCACTTGTCCTCGCACATGAATAACATATGATCAAACTGGCTTCTTACACAAGACATGACTAATCTTGTGTATATACATCATATGTCGAGTCCAACCGTGATGTCTTAGGTCTAAAGATTAGTGGTACACTAGTACGATCCTACGATGTATCATTGACCACATTCTAAATGTCCATGTGATTCATCGTAATCGGTCATATTCGATAAACATTTCACCAACCTTTTATCCATGCTAATGCCCTAGTGATATACCTCTTATAATCACCCACACTAATATCATCACATGATATTCAATGGAGGCCTTTAGCATATCTACTATGCAATGTTATTGTCCAATTAACATTACTTACGCAGGGAATGCTTCGATGATTTGATCTTCTAAAGATCCATATCATCCGGACGTTTCACATGCATTATAAATAGTATAAATGAAGCAGTAAACAACATGTGAAATTAGAACTATTTCTTCCATTCTTAAAAGATTATTCACAAGATATAATGCCTTAAAACCGACAACACGATTGGTTCTTAGGGCATACACTAACAGTTCTGTTGTGCCAAAAATACACATTGGTGTTAGCACCACAAATCAGAGCTCAACAAACACTTAAAGGCAAAGGGTATTAGTTATCAAAACTCAAACCCCCTCAAAGAGATATTATATAACACATGTTCCACCTTTATCAAAATAAAGGATCAGGATGAATGAGAGCTCTCCATGTGTCAAGACAACTTGCAAAAACACTCATTACGTTAAACTCAAATGTGTATAATTGGGCAGCTCTCTTCATGAAAAGGAGGCTGGTTGGGCATATGAGAGCTAGGCAAACGTTTGAACTTTATTATTTTTTCTTTGTAAACAAAGCATTTCTCTAGTTTTGTATGCCTTTACAGGAAATATCAGAAAAATAGTCAGAGAATAATAAAATAACAATGACTATATGATTCGTTTTAAGCATCCGAACCACTTTAAAAAAACCCATTTGTCAGTGTTTTATTTATATTTCTACAAACATATATCATCACAGCTCTATAATCAACTTTTATAATCATATTCCGTATAATTTTTAAGACCTATTTAATACTTTATACTGTAAGTCGTTAGTGTCAAAACAATTGGTATAATAAAAATTATACTCTTGACAGATATTTTCACAAGAAAATTTGGGGTCGACGTTTGAATATAAGCATTTTGTGAACAAGTCAGGAATCGGCTCAACAGTTTGGGAGATGACAATGAGTGCATGTTTATCTCAGCCCCCGATTCTCTCTTTCACAGATATGGCCACTTCCCTTACTGAAATTCAGCAAGCTCATGCCCACATGCTCAAAACTGGTCATTTCAACAACACTTTTGCTGCAAGCAGACTCATCAGTTTTGCCATCACGAACCCTGATCCTCAAACTCTCTCTTATAGTCACTCCGTTTTCACTCGCATTCGCGACCCAAATTCATACACTTTTAATACCCTCATTAGAGCTTATGCCAACAGCCTCAACCCACAAAATGCACTCCCAATCTTCCTTCAAATGTTAAGTGGCCATGCAAATGTTGTTCCTGATAAGTACACTTTCACTTTTGTATTAAAGGCGTGTGCTAATTTTGGTGGATTGAGAGAAGGAATGCAAATTCATGGTCATTTGTTAAAGAATGGAATTGGGAGTGATTTGTTTGTTCAAAATACTTTGGTTCATATTTATGCTAAATCGGGGTGTATCAAAAGCGCACGTAATATGCTTGATAAAATGCCGAATCGAGACGTGGTTTCTTGGAATGCGCTTTTAAGTGCTTATGTGGAAATGAGAATGATGGAGTTGGCGCGTGAATTGTTTGATGGAATGGAGGAAAGGAGTGTAGAATCTTGGAATTTTATGATTTCGGGGTATGTAAATGTTGGATTGGTTGAAGAAGCTAGACGGGTTTTTAATATGATGCCTTTGAAGAATGTGGTTTCTTGGAATGCTATTATCACTGGTTATGCGCACGCGAGTTGTTTTAAGGAAGTTTTATTGTTGTTTGAGGATATGCAGAATGCGAAAGTGAAGCCTGATAATTGCACATTTGTCAATGTTTTATCTGCTTGCGCTCGTGTTGGAGCTTTAAGCCAAGGTGAATGGATTCATGCTTATATTGATAAGAATGGGATTGGAATTGATGGTTTTATAGCTACTGCACTTGTTGATATGTATTCCAAATGTGGGAACATTGAAAAGGCTATGAAAGTTTTTAGAAGCACTTTGAGGAAGGATGTTAGTACTTGGAATTCAATAATTTCTGGTTTAAGTATACATGGTTTTGGAGAATCTGCATTGCAGATATTCTCTGAGATGATTGTGGAGGGTTTTGAGCCGAATGAAGTGACGTTTATCGGCGTTTTATCTGCATGTAGTCGTTCAGGGTTGTTAAATGAGGGGCGTGAAATGTTTGACCTCATGACACGTGTATATGGGATTCAACCAACAGTTGAGCACTATGGTTGCATGGTGGATTTGCTTGGTCGACAGGGATTACTAGAGGAGGCCGAAGAACTTGTGAGAACAATGCCACAGAAAGAAGCTCCTGTGGTCTGGGAATCACTTTTGGGTTCTTGCAAAAACCATGGTAATATAGAATTGGCAGAGTTTGTTGCTAGGAAGCTCCTGGAGTTGAATCCTCAAGATAGTGCCGGTTATGTTCAATTGTCAAACATGTATGCATCTGTTGGAAGATGGGATGATGTTATGGAGGTGAGAAGTAAGATGAAGGCACAAAAAGTAAATAAGGATCCCGGTTGTAGCATGATAGAAGTGGATGGAGTAATTCATGAGTTTTTAGCTGGTGAAGGAATTATTTCTTGAGCAAACTTTACCCTGGGAAGTATGAATTAGACAATCCAGATGCAAGCTCTTCTTGGTAAACCCTGGAGCCCAACAGGGTATTAAACCTACTTATTTTCGAGAAGTAGCAATTGTTCACTCTCCTGATGCTGGCACTCCGTATGAGTTCAATTAAAGCCTACAAGTAGCCATGTGCTGTAGATTGTGGAATCCACAAGAATAGGCAGTGGACTTTTGAGAGAAAGGAGCCTTCAAATCCATAACTGTTGCATAAAAATTACAAAATGATAGAATTCTGCTGATGGGATGTTAAAATTGTTTGTACTTGGAGAATGGAACCGCTTCGTCTTTAGAACATTGTGGGGAGGCATCTAGTGATAGTGTTCCCTGATTGTAAGTAGCCAGCTTTGTACTATTTACCACCTAAAAACTTCTTTTCTTTTAGTACATTCAGTTCTACCAATTGTCAACTTAGAGGATTCTGGTGCATGTGCGATAAATTTCAAGTAAAGATTTCAATGTAAATGAAATTAGAAGCATGATATTAAAGCACTAAGACTGTAACTATTGACAGTATGATTACAAGTTTGCCTATCATTAGCTGACCATTAGTTAATAATTATGGAAATAATTTTCATTCTTTAATTCATTGTCAAAGCAAGCCTGGTCCATGTCATACCATACCTGCCGGAAAACCTTGATGATGAGATCATGGTATTCATCGGAATTCAGTGTCAGATAGCACGCCAAGAGCTCTTCGAGTTCTTCTGGCTGGCTGATCTTCTTCTCCATGATCATCTCATTCATCGAGTCTCGGAAGTCTTTTTGCGGATCAAATGAGGTTTTCACCACAGCAAAGCTCTCTAGGTCTGTTCCTCCCTCCATTGTTTTCTCTTTTCCCTTCCTCATCTTCAGTTTGGCTTTCTTCATGTCTTCAAGGGCCTTTATTCTTGGAGAGGAAACTTTCACCCTGCTACTCTGTTTCGTTCTTTGTCTCTGCAATTCTCTGCTAATGTACATAGATTTCCTCTGGTTCTCATTCTTTGACTTTAGCTCTTTGATCTTCATCTGTTTCAATTCTTCCCACTCTGAACTCATTTTCTCTACAGAAGTTCCATAATTTCCATTTAAACTCCGTCCTGCATGTACACCATCTTCTTCAGCTATGAAATTACAATTTTTTGACATTCTTGAAGAGAAATGACGCCGTTTCTCTAAATCAGCACTCGTTAATTTGCAATTCTCTCTCTGCATCATTTGAATTGTTCTTGGCTGTTCAAATTCCAAGTTGTCTTTTGCAACTGATTTTCTTGATTTCTCTTCTCTTTCATTTGAACTCCTTGAAACTCTTGGATTTATTTTCTTCAATTTCTTTTCAGTTTTCACTCTAGGCGTCTTGATAATTGCTTCATGTACTTCACTTTTACATGCATCCATTCCAGGAAAAATCTCCCCATCTCTTGACGACTCTCTAATCTTCCTTGAATTCAAACTCAAGTTGTCAAACATCTGAATCTCTTCTTTTCCCATTAACGTTGTAGCTTTTGATCCAGAACTCTGCCAAGTTGAAGGCGGAACGTCAAACTCATCATGAGAATTAAACCAATCCGAGCTTAAAACACTCCTACTACTCTTCCCCTCAAAACCCTCTTCGCCAAATGATAATCTCCAGAAATCATCACCTTCCCTGCCATAGAATCTACCTCCTCCTCTAGCATTACCACATGTTTGCGAACTTACGCAGGCCGAATTCCACCTGGCGTCGACGCGCTTCACTGTACCCGGTTTTGGTTCCACGTCTCTACTCTTTTGCTTGAACTTAGAAAGCCATGAGATGGGAAAGACATGAGAGATCAAAGAAGAAGAAGAAGAAGAAGACGACTTGGAATTATAAACTTTCTTTCTTCCCCACTTCATTATCTTATGCTAACAGAGAGAAAGTGAGTCTCTAATGAAAACTGTTTGATGAAGGAGATAATGTTGATCACATTCAGAAAACTGAATGAATGATAATGGATGAAAAGGGTGGAGAGTTCTAGCAGTTATGGGGCAGTTAGGCTGATAAATAGGTACGTCGTGTTTCTGTGTTTACTCATTTTTATTTTTTTTTTCTTTTTGTCTTTGGGGTTCAAAAGAAAGAACCGCTCTAATTCATGTGACCACTTTAGTTACCTTTTTCTGCTTTCTGATTTGTACTTGAATAGAAATTTATGCCAATTAGGGGACCCTATTTCTGATGCTTAAGTTAAGTAACAACCTAAGTACATACATTTATCAGAAACTGAGTTAAACCCAGATGGCCTTCTCCATATTACCACATTACTTGAACTGGCTATCAATATCTCTAACAGCTACTTGGCTTGAGACCATCTTGGATGATTAAGACAGATAGTCTGTCTCTCTCTTTTGATGTCTTTGCTTTTTGGGTGTGATTTATTTGTATGGTTTTAGTGATTTAGAGATGTTCTCTCTTTAATCATTTCCTTCCCTTTGGTACTAAAATCAAAACATCAAATTGATTGTTGTTCCTTCTTTTGCTTTTGGCCTTTTCTACATTGTGTCGTCTTCTTTTAGTCAAACTTTGGTACAGATTCTCTGCAGTAGCCAAAGAAATCTCATGGGTTGGGTTAAAATTGGGTTGGGCTGGCTAGAACATAGACTCACCCCATCTGCTCTGCGCTACTTCAAATTATACATGGTTAGTCATCTCTCATTTGAAAAATATTGATAAACCCTAGCTCCCAAGTTTCCTTTGAACATGAAATTTAACAAATTGAACAATGTTGTCATTCTGTTACAGACATTTTTTCTTCGTCAGATAATACAAATTTGCCTAATTTTACAGATGATGACAGCAAGAGCAAAACAAAAGAAAAAGGTTAATTCATGAACAGAATAGAAGAAGAAAAACCTAGATAGTTAACCCCAAGGGCTTGGCCTCGTGGTCAAGGAGGGTTGCTCTCTTTCTTGAGTTTTTAAATTCAAACCTTAAGATCATCTACTACAATAACATTATGGTTTACCTGATCATTTGGGTTTATAGGGTGTTTAATAGACTCTGAGGATTAGTTGAGATGTACACAAGTTTGCTAGATACTCTAGTAATAAAAAAAATGAAAAAACTAGATAGTTTTTTCTTAGATTTGACTTTTCTCATATGAATTTTATCATTTTTCACATTGCCGATGAATGAGAGTATAAACTAGTTTATAAATCTTGAACTATCTCAATTAAAGTATACAGATTTTGGGTGGTGAAAGATACTTCGGCAATGGTTCTGGTATCAACCTCCCAGGATGGTTTACACCTCAAGTACAGAATCATCTAACTTTGCTCTTGCTTCACAAATAATGAAAGCATCACTTTGATTAAAAGAAAACCATTATGTCTTCATCCTAAAGGTCACAACTGTTAAGTTTTTTAACTTGGGGGGTTGTTTCATCCTAACCACTCCTGTATTGTTTTCTTCAATGTGTAATGCATTATATCAGAATATGCATTTTATATGGTTAACAATAATAGAAATATTTATGTAATCAAGAACATTATTGAAATTAAGCTAAGGTTACTATGTAAATCCAGAGATGGTAAAAGTTAGATTGCAGAAATTAAGGACTTCTGTAAAGAAAATTGGGTTTGTCATTTTCTTTTCTGGTAGGTAAGTCAAGATCCAACAAAAAGCTGAAGCATCAAACCACCCTCTATGATTCAGAATTTCCACCCATAAGGAGTTAACAATAGTGCTTGATTTGACTGCGTTTCACCTAATAATCAGAAAACTAAAGAGGGTACTGTATGTTCAAGCAAGGAGAAGTACGAATAAAGTAGGAAGTCATTATTAACTCCCCATCCTGGCACCAACAGTAAAGATAATGTTTCATGTTCAAATCCATTTAATACATTGTTTGGCCAATAATATTTCTCATCATGTAGAAACAGTAAATTCCCTTGTGGAAAAGTTGAACTTCTGCGAGAGATGGGCTTGTCCTTTCCTTTTCTGGTACGAAAGTCAAGGACTAACAAATACTTAAGCATCAAACTGCCTTCTAAGATACAGAATTTGCACCCAACAAAGGGCAAAATCAGTCAAAAGTAATGATATTTTAGTGCTGCACAGCTTTACTTACACCTAATATTCAGCATGAGAAAGGCATATAAGATAGAGTAAGTTCTATGCATTTAAAAAGTAGGAACAAAATTTTTTTGAAGCAAACTCTACAAAGTTTTAAATAAATGAGTCCCATTCCCACTTTCATTGAAGTTTATTGATTCTTTCATACATTACAAAGCACAAAAACTTTGATATAGAAATTTACTTCATCTCAACTTAGCTTGAAATATCATCAATGGCTAAGCTCAGGAAACCATGTAGATTTTCTGTAGTTCTATTTCTAGTTCTGGTTTTTCTTTGCAATGGTTGGCATGCGAATGCCGAAACTGAGTATATATCAGCAGTAGGTGATCCAGGAATGAGAAGGGATGGCCTTAGATTAGCCATTGAGTCATGGAATCAATGCAATGAGGTAGGAAAAGAAGTTCCTCATATGGGAAGTCCAAGAGCTGCAGATTGCTTTGACATATACAAGGCTTCTCCACAGTCAAATGGTAAGTTCCCACTTTTCCTTGTATTTTCATTTGATGTTAGGTCACTTATGATTAGGTTAAACATAATTATTAAAGAGCATTAACACAAACTGGATTCGTTTCCTTTTTTATTTCTCATCATGTTCGTGGAGGTGATGAAAGAAGATTGTATTTTGTTTTATCTTTACATTAAAAGCAACCTTGTCCTTGAAAGTCACTGTGTTATTTAATTTCTCTCCAGAAACATATATCAAGTTATCTTTGGCAGTGTAGAAAAAGTAGTTATTCTTTCCATTATATTCTCATTTTTGGCAATTAATTTATGTATAGAAAAAAACTGTTCCATTTGCCTACCCTACACATTGGTCCACAGAGTGACAGAGGCAGACAACAAGCTAGGGGTTGGAGACCCTTTTCTTGGAGTTCAACCGGATGCTCTTTTCAATGTAGACCTTTATGCTGCAGAGAAGGAACTCTATTTGGGATCTAAATGTGAAGTTGAAGACAAACCAAATCCTTGGCAATTTTGGATGATCATGCTCAAGAGTGGTAACATGGATACTTCTGCAGCCATGTGTCCTAAAAACGGGTATAAAGTTGGGCCATTTGGCCCTGATAATGGGTTCCCTTGCTTTGGAAAAGGGTGTATGAATCAACCATTGATATATCATGACTACACCACATTGCAGGGGCCAAATAGGACTACCCTTAAGGGAAGGTTTTATGGCTCATGGGATTTGAATGCTGATTTGAGTAAAGGATCGGTGGGTAACATTTCTTACCATTCTGTGGATTGGAAGAAGGAAATTGGTCGAGGAAGTTGGGTTTTTCATCATGTCTTGAGGACTTCAATAAAGTATCCGTGGTTGATGCTTTACTTCCGATCAGATGCCACGCAGGGGGTGTCTGGTGGCTACCATTATCCCACCAGGGGTATGTCCAAGATTGTAAGTCATTCTCACTCTAATTTAGCTTTATGGAAGCATTCCATTTTAAATTACAATTTTTTTCGATCAAGCAAATCAGGTTGTTGGGCAATCATTAAAATCCCAGATGTATTTTGCAGATTCCAGGATCACCAAACTTTAAAGTAAGGTTTACTCTAAATGTGATCAAAGGTGGGGGTCATAACAGCCAATTCTACCTACTGGACATTGGCAGTTGTTGGAAGAACAATGGACAAAATTGTGATGGCAATGTAACATCAGATGTTACTAGATATAGTGAGATGATCATAAATCCCAACATAACTTCGTGGTGCCAGCCTGACCATCTCAGTACATGTCCACCGTACCACACATTCCCCAATGGGACTCGCGTCCATCGCAACGACACTGCCCACTTCCCTTATGCTGCTTATCACCTGTATTGCTCCCCTGGAAATGCAGACCATCTTGAAATGCCTTACACTTTATGTGATCCATATAGCAATCCTCAGTCTCAGGAAATATTGCAAATTTTGCCACACCCCGTTTGGGGTGAGTATGGCTATCCTACTAGCCAAGGAGAAGGTTGGATTGGCGATCCAAGGACTTGGGAGCTTGATGTTGGAAGATTGTCTCAATCTTTATATTTTTATCAGGATCCTGGAAGTCCACCAGCCAGGAGGCAATGGAGGTCTATTGATTTGGGAGCTGAGATTTTTAAGGACCCTGATCAAGTTGCTGAGTGGACTGTTAGTGACTTCGATATCCTAGTATCAAAGCAATGAATATGCATGATACAGAAAGAGAGAGATTAGGTGCAAATGAAAACATGAAGTAATTGTATAGAGGAGTTTCTTCAGCTTCAATCCAAAGGATTTCTGTCATTCTTTTCAACATATTAAGAAAATGTCTAAATCAGAATTTTGTGCAGAAAAACTTTGCAGGCTTTTATTTTTCTGTCATTAAATCCATTTGTTTACACTGTAAGATTCTCAAAGAAGTTTAACAATGTGAGGGGTGTCTGCCTCTAATAAAAAAATGAAAAAACTAGATAGTTTTTTCTTATATTTGACTTTTCTCATATGAATTTTATCATTTTTCACATTGCCGATGAATGAGAGTATAAACTAGTTTATAAATCTTGAACTATCTCAATTAAAGTATACAGATTTTGGGTGGTGAAAGATACTTCGGCAATGGTTCTGGTATCAACCTCCCAGGATGGTTTACACCTCAAGTACAGAATCATCTAACTTTGCTCTTGCTTCACAAATAATGAAAGCATCACTTTGATTAAAAGAAAACCATTATGTCTTCATCCTAAAGGTCACAACTGTTAAGTTTTTTAACTTGGGGGGTTGTTTCATCCTAACCACTCCTGTATTGTTTTCTTCAATGTGTAATGCATTATATCAGAATATGCATTTTATATGGTTAACAATAATAGAAATATTTATGTAATCAAGAACATTATTGAAATTAAGCTAAGGTTACTATGTAAATCCAGAGATGGTAAAAGTTAGATTGCAGAAATTAAGGACTTCTGTAAAGAAAATTGGGTTTGTCATTTTCTTTTCTGGTAGGTAAGTCAAGATCCAACAAAAAGCTGAAGCATCAAACCACCCTCTATGATTCAGAATTTCCACCCATAAGGAGTTAACAATAGTGCTTGATTTGACTGCGTTTCACCTAATAATCAGAAAACTAAAGAGGGTACTGTATGTTCAAGCAAGGAGAAGTACGAATAAAGTAGGAAGTCATTATTAACTCCCCATCCTGGCACCAACAGTAAAGATAATGTTTCATGTTCAAATCCATTTAATACATTGTTTGGCCAATAATATTTCTCATCATGTAGAAACAGTAAATTCCCTTGTGGAAAAGTTGAGCTTCTGCGAGAGATGGGCTTGTCCTTTTCTTTTCTGGTACGAAAGTCGGGGACTAACAAATACTTAAGCATCAAACTGCCTTCTAAGATACAGAATTTGCACCCAACAAAGGGCAAAATCAGTCAAAAGTAATGATATTTTAGTGCTGCACAGCTTTACTTGCACCTAATATTCAGCATGAGAAAGGCATATAAGATAGACTAAGTTCTATGCATTTCAAAAGTAGGAACAAAATTTTTTTGAAGCAAACTCTACAAAGTTTAAAATAAATAAGTCCCATTCCCACTTTCATTGAAGTTTATTGATTCTTTCATACATTAGAAGGCACAAAAACTTTGATATAGAAATGTACTTCATCTCAACTTAGCTTGAAATATCATCAATGGCTAAGCTCAGGAAACCATGTAGATTTTCTGTAGTTCTAGTTCTAGTTCTGGTTTTTCTTTGCAATGCTTGGCATGCGAATGCCGAAACTGAGTATATATCAGCAGTAGGTGATCCAGGAATGAGAAGGGATGGCCTTAGATTAGCCATTGAGTCATGGAATCAATGCAATGAGGTAGGAAAAGAAGTTCCTCATATGGGAAGTCCAAGAGCTGCAGATTGCTTTGACATATACAAGGCTTCTCCACAGTCAAATGGTAAGTTCCCACTTTTCCTTGTATTTTCATTTGATGTTAGGTCACTTATGATTAGGTTAAACATAATTATTAAAGAGCATTAACACAAACTGGATTCGTTTCCTTTTTTATTTCTCATCATGTTCGTGGAGGTGATGAAAGAAGATTGTATTTTGTTTTATCTTTACATTAAAAGCAACCTTGTCCTTGAAAGTCACTGTGTTATTTAATTTCTCTCCAGAAACATATATCAAGTTATCTTTGGCAGTGTAGAAAAAGTAGTTATTCTTTCCATTATATTCTCATTTTTGGCAATTAATTTATGTATAGAAAAAAACTGTTCCATTTGCCTACCCTACACATTGGTCCACAGAGTGACAGAGGCAGACAACAAGCTAGGGGTTGGAGACCCTTTTCTTGGAGTTCAACCGGATGCTCTTTTCAATGTAGACCTTTATGCTGCAGAGAAGGAACTCTATTTGGGATCTAAATGTGAAGTTGAAGACAAACCAAATCCTTGGCAATTTTGGATGATCATGCTCAAGAGTGGTAACATGGATACTTCTGCAGCCATGTGTCCTAAAAACGGGTATAAAGTTGGGCCATTTGGCCCTGATAATGGGTTCCCTTGCTTTGGAAAAGGGTGTATGAATCAACCATTGATATATCATGACTACACCACATTGCAGGGGCCAAATAGGACTACCCTTAAGGGAAGGTTTTATGGCTCATGGGATTTGAATGCTGATTTGAGTAAAGGATCGGTGGGTAACATTTCTTACCATTCTGTGGATTGGAAGAAGGAAATTGGTCGAGGAAGTTGGGTTTTTCATCATGTCTTGAGGACTTCAATAAAGTATCCGTGGTTGATGCTTTACTTCCGATCAGATGCCACGCAGGGGGTGTCTGGTGGCTACCATTATCCCACCAGGGGTATGTCCAAGATTGTAAGTCATTCTCACTCTAATTTAGCTTTATGGAAGCATTCCATTTTAAATTACAATTTTTTTCGATCAAGCAAATCAGGTTGTTGGGCAATCATTAAAATCCCAGATGTATTTTGCAGATTCCAGGATCACCAAACTTTAAAGTAAGGTTTACTCTAAATGTGATCAAAGGTGGGGGTCATAACAGCCAATTCTACCTACTGGACATTGGCAGTTGTTGGAAGAACAATGGACAAAATTGTGATGGCAATGTAACATCAGATGTTACTAGATATAGTGAGATGATCATAAATCCCAACATAACTTCGTGGTGCCAGCCTGACCATCTCAGTACATGTCCACCGTACCACACATTCCCCAATGGGACTCGCGTCCATCGCAACGACACTGCCCACTTCCCTTATGCTGCTTATCACCTGTATTGCTCCCCTGGAAATGCAGACCATCTTGAAATGCCTTACACTTTATGTGATCCATATAGCAATCCTCAGTCTCAGGAAATATTGCAAATTTTGCCACACCCCGTTTGGGGTGAGTATGGCTATCCTACTAGCCAAGGAGAAGGTTGGATTGGCGATCCAAGGACTTGGGAGCTTGATGTTGGAAGATTGTCTCAATCTTTATATTTTTATCAGGATCCTGGAAGTCCACCAGCCAGGAGGCAATGGAGGTCTATTGATTTGGGAGCTGAGATTTTTAAGGACCCTGATCAAGTTGCTGAGTGGACTGTTAGTGACTTCGATATCCTAGTATCAAAGCAATGAATATGCATGATACAGAAAGAGAGAGATTAGGTGCAAATGAAAACATGAAGTAATTGTATAGAGGAGTTTCTTCAGCTTCAATCCAAAGGATTTCTGTCATTCTTTTCAACATATTAAGAAAATGTCTAAATCAGAATTTTGTGCAGAAAAACTTTGCAGGCTTTTATTTTTCTGTCATTAAATCCATTTGTTTACACTGTAAGATTCTCAAAGAAGTTTAACAATGTGAGGGGTGTCTGCCTCTTGCATTTC